AAGCCGTAGTACTGCAAAAAGCAAGACCAATCATTTGAACCGGCCCGGCTAAAGTAACTGGATGGCCTACCTGCCTGTCAGCATTCCTCTGTGCACAAATTTATCTCGTGCCCTCATTGGTCATGTGCGCGTTTGTGTGTGTTGGAGGAGGGTCTCTGTAAGGAAGTGGTAGATTTGTTCCGGTTGTGTATTTTCAAATTCTAGCGTACTCGAGCTGGTTTCTCCAAAATGACCTACCCCACCTTTAATGTCAGAGATGCGGCTAAGTTTAAACACACTCTTATCATACTGTCAGAAGTGCTGCCAAACGGGGAGGTTCTGGACAGCAGTAAATGCTGAAGGGTGCCTTAGGAGCATGTGATTTAAAAAAAAAAAAATGAAAGCAGGCCTGTGAGTCTGGACCTGAATGTAACCCTTGTCAACTACTGTCATTAAGCCAGCAAGAGCTATCTTTATCTGACGGACTCCAGACACTGTCGACGTTCTGTGTTTTGTTGTCACTGTTTTATGTATTTTTGTTCCTGTTTGACAAGTTAAAGAAGTACTTTCACACATGCAGTTATTGGTACAAATGATGTTTGGTGTCACAACCTTTCAAGTGAGCCAGCATGCGCACTACCCTGTTCCATCTCAAAGGAACAGGGCCAATATTATTGTTATTATACACCTGTGATGACAAGTCCAAATGCCTTCAGTGAAAAGTGCCTATAAGTGGACATTTAAGGTCATCCCAGCATTCAGTGAAAGCCTGGAGGAGGATTATGATTATTATATTAACCTACTGTATGACTGGCTAAAGAATGAGTATTGATTATTCAAATCAAGTTTTATTTATATAGCACATTTATAAACGATTTTTGGTCGAGCCAAAGTGCTGTAGCCTACATATAATAAAAATAGCCAACAGTAGAGACACTTTACAGCTAATACAACAACACAGATTGTTCATAATATCAGTATGAGAAAAACGACACCCTCTATCCTTAGACCCTCTGTCCTTAGACCCTCACATCGTACAAGGAAAAAATTCCGGAGAAAACCCACAGTTTAAAGGGAAAAAATGGGAGAAACCTCAGGGAGAGCAACAGAGGAGGGATCCCTCTCCCAGGACGGACAGACGTGCAATAGATGCCGTGTGTAAATCGAAGAGATAATACATTTTACAGCGTAGGTAGTCCAAATGTTAGGAAACGCATGTGTCTGTAATAAGAAGATGAATCTACGAAGATGTCAACTAGAATCCTGTGGGAGCCTTCAGGGAAGCAGCATGACGAGACCCAGGCAGGACCGCAGAGACAGGTTTAGCCACGACCCGAAGTCCACGACTTAATCCATTATTGCTCTTTATCAACAGTGAAATACATTAGACATTTGTGTTAAATTCAAGTTTAGTTCATTATTCTACCACCAGGAGGCAGAAGAATCTATGAAAGCAGCAACAAGTAAACTATAAATCTTAAAACAGTGAAAACCCTTTACATTTAATTGTAGACCTACTATCAGAGAGAATCTGTTTTTGGAATCCACCAAAGTACAGCAAAGGTAGCCTAAATACAATGACAGACTAGTGAGTAAAGTTTCGTTCAGTATTTGAAATAAACACTGAATCAGCCCAAATGATTTTCCTTCTCCAGGTGGAACTAAACAGGAAGTACAGGATGCACGACATCCTGACCCAGCAGTGTCTGCAGACGTCGACCTTCATCAACGCTCGGACGGTGTTCATGAGATGCACGCTGGAGCAGGGCCGCTACGTCCTCATCCCCACCACCTTCAAGCCTTACACTCTGGGGGATTACATGATCCGAGTTTTCACCGACGTGGACTCAGGCTGCAGGTACGACTGTGGTTGAGCTGTGACGTCTGACCGGGGACTGCTTTTAATTTTAAATCAGCAGCATGGCTGGGTTTTATTATGTCAATATGCACTTATCTTACAATAATCAGCTTTTAAGAGACTCTGCAGGGAAAGCAAGAACACAGCTGTTCCTTGATTGTTCCATTCAGACACTAATGTCTGAGGGATTATATCCAAGGAAAACACCCATAATTACTGTTTCAGATACTTTACAATTATATTCACATTAAATCACTTGGAAAGTAATATCTCATCTCATTCTGCTTATCTTGAGCGATGATTTTATGTTTTTTGTTTTGACTGTTCATGTTGGCAAACCAGAACCAAATCATGTTTGCTCACACATTCAGGTCATCCAGGCTGGGTAATCCAACTTGTTGTGTGTACTGTGTATTAGACATAATTACACTTACCATGTTTGATAATACAGTAGCTAGATCTAGTGCAGAGTATCAAGATATAAGTACTTTTCTCATGATGTCTAACTTCTCATCTCTCACAGGGAGCTGAAAGAAGATAAGCCGCAGGTTAAATGCTGGAGTTCATTCCTTGGATACCCGCAAGCTGTGACTCACGTCTACGTGCACGGAGCCGGGGGGCTGCAGAACCAGGACTGCACTGGAGGTCAGAGGACTTGATCAAATGACTCTTACCTCAAATGTACTTATCAGCCTGTATATGGTTTTCTGACTTGGAACTTTCCATGCGTTCCTGCAGGTGCAGACCCATATGTGATCATTCACTGTGAGGGCCGGTCTGTACGATCCACCATCAAAAAGGACACCCTGAATCCAGAGTTTACAACAAGCGCAATTTTCTTCAGGAAGAATCCCAGAAAGCCCTTAACAGTGGAGGTAAGATGGCATCCCTCTGCTCCTTGTGATTGTAATTAATCTGTCTCACAATTCAAACAGTCATTTCTTTATGGTGAAACCCTCTCATTGTCAACAATTTGTGAAACTGAACAAGAATCCGATTGATTTGGAGTTGAATGTCTATCGATTATTTTACCTAAAGCTAACTTCACCATGGTTGCTAGTAATTTTTAATCTGCAAAGCAAACTATTATTAACAATAATAGGGCTTGGATTTTACTATATGAACAGGATTAGTTTCCAAAATGCCTTTTTTTTTTATTCCTACAACAAAACAACGTAATGTTGATTATACAGACACTACATTTTTTTGTGCAGTCTTTTTTTTTTTTTTATTCAGTGCTCACAAAAACTAATGATGATAGTAAAATGAGAAGAATAGATCAATGAACTACAGAAGCTCACATAATAAAAGGTCAACTGACAATGTGATGGCGGCTTGTAATTGAGAGCACAGAACATCCTCCTTGCCTGTTAACGCTCAATATAATGAAATCAGAGTAGCCAAGATGATCTGTGGTTATTTTGTAACACATGACGGGTGTTCCTCAGGTGTGGAACAGCAACGCGGTGAAGGACGAGTTCATGGGCCAGGTGGTTCTGTCGGGCTCGGTGAAGGACACCTTCAGCCCTCAGAGGCTCCAGCTGAGGAAGAGAGGACGACAGATGGCGGACGAGATGCCGGGGACCATCAGTGTGAGGATCATCACTTCTACTCAGCTGACCGCCATGTGATCCTGTCAGGGACTTTAGTGAGGGCTTTTTCACTGATGAACATCTCACTTGGCATGTGTCATCATCAAAGCCCCATAAACACTCTCTTTGTCATGCTGGATGTCCACGCTTTTATTTTACATTTGTATTTGCACGTTGGGGAATTGTTTGCAAAGTTGAGATGTGAGCAGGCAATTCCTGTCATTCCTATCTTAACGTTTAATCTTGAGTTATCTTAATCACCTTTTCAAATCATTTTTATGTAACTTGTAAAATATTTGTATATTGACATTTTGAAAGTTGCTTGTAAAGATGTTCTCTTTTTACTGTGAGTTTTATGGCAGATGTCATTCGAGTCTTAAAATACATTAGTTATACTTTTGTCCTTTTTTTAAATAGCACCTTTTTATGCAGAACAATGTATTGTGTGCACAACATGATTAAAGTATCATCTATTCTTTGATGAATTTTCTAATCCTTTTTTTCATTGACGATTACATGGCATAACGAATAAAAGAAATCCAAGAATCACATGAGACAACCAGCATTAACACAGCTCTGGTTTTTCTTCCTCTTTTTATTTCAGTCCAGTTCCCAAACTGCAATATTTTTTTTACACTCAAGACACAGCCATGCACAATTCAAAGTTCAAAAAGTCTATTGCTTCAACCACGATTAAAAATAGTTTATCCAAAACCTCATTTCCCCGTCGCTTGTTTGTCCTTTTCAAAGATGGGGAAAGGCCTGCTGAGGTATGCCAGATGGATCAGCAGTTTTTACAAAGCTAGACAATAATAAGAGTAATAATAATGATAATAATTTAAAAAGTAACATTTTTTGTATTTGTTCCATTCTCTTGATACACATTAATAGAGGAATTTTCACACCACGTGTACAGATTTACACATTCAGAAGATAGGAATGTACAGGAGCAACCACAGAAGAGGGGCACGTCGGCGGTGTCTCTTGTCCCAAAATTCACTTTTGTGCTCATAGTTCAGACCTGTACATGGGGGCGGGGGGGCCAAACGGGGGCCGGCGGAGCTTCATGTCAGTCCAGCCACACACACATGTACTAACACTCAGCAGTGGTACTGACAGACTGTGTGTCCCATAGAGCCGGATCCAGGATTGCGGAGTGTGTGTTCGTTTTTCTCTTTTTTGATTTTCAGGGTGCAAAACATTTATCGATACATAGAGCAACCTGAATATTGTCATTTAAAGTTACGTCATTCTGAAAAAAGGGGGGTTTTCCCATCATATTTACATACATACATACATATCCTAACAACCTTAACCTATTTGAAGATGAGATACAGTGTATAGTTTGTTTTACATGCATGGATTCTGTTGCACCCTCCTGTCTAACATCACTCCACCTACTCTGCACCTCAAAGCCAAGGTGGACGAGTGAGGCATCTTCTAGTGCAGATTGAGGTAGCCCATCTAACACACACACTCACACACAGAGGGATGCTACACGGGAAATGCCTGACGAAGCTACCAAATACCGACACAATGTAGATAACCTCTGTACAGGAATGAGATGAAACGCTAACCAAGAGTGGAAGGAATGTTAGCAACAAAATGAACCTCTTCTTCGGTTTCTGTTTCCAGCGCTCATTAGGATTAGGTACAATTATAAAATGGCATCCACTCTACTCCCAGCTTCACTCAGTGGATAACATTCCCCCTCTTTGATCCGCCACGCGTTCCAAAAGCCCACTACAAAACGTACGGATCATATGACAGAAACACACATAGGACACCATTAAAAGACAAAAGGACACTGGATGAAAACCAACATGAGAAGACGGGGGGCAGGTGGGCCGGGAGGACAGTGGGTTCCTGTTTCCTCATTAGACATTAATGTTTAACCTTAACAGATATGCCTTCAACCTCATCATGTATAGTCACAGTTGCGTATTGTATTCTGTAATGTTGGATAGTGAGACCACTAAACAGTAATCTTCCAAATGGGAGAATAATCTTATGGAATCTGTATTTTACATTTAAGTCACCATAAATAATGGATTAAATAATCAATGTTTTTCTACCTGTTGGAGTTTGCTGATCCGACTAACAATGTTGGAATAAATATACCGCATATTCAGAGTATTATCTTTATGTTGTTGCCAAGCGTCACCCTTCCTGTTTAAGGTTTAAGGTCATAAGGATGCGAAACTGTGAGAATGGGCGGACCTTCAACTCACTGTAGGTCAATAATTACACATCCTTCTGTTTGCCACTGTTGTAGAAAAACATGTAATTAGAAAGGCTGGTCCACTGTATGCAAGCACCTTTAATATAGATATTTAAAAATAAAAACATGTATCATTTCTGTTGAGTCTTTGATCCAGTATTTGGATTTCTATTATATAGCTAATTATCAAATGTAATACACAGAATGGCTCGATTAACATAGATGTTGAAATATGTCCCCCAAAGCCTGTCACAGTGACACAAACTGAATAGCTATATGGATAACCCTATTTGTCACATTATGAATGCTACAGTTTATGTACAGTATGCGCGTACGCAACAAAAGGATTAGTAATGAAGTTGACATTATTTTAAAGTAATTCTGATCATTTCTGCGTGTGTTTACCGTAATACCAGATGTTGATTTAAACTGTGCGTTCAAGTGTCTCTATCTACATCATAACACTTGAAATTGATAAGAAAGCATAAGTGTATACATATTTGTACCTGTGCGATCTACAGCTGAGTCACAAATGTTTTAAATTCGATGTTACATGCAGGCAAACCATTATGTTGCCAGTTTTAGAGAGAAATGAACTCCAGTGACTCTTTAAGAGAGATTTTGACAGAATTTGGCTTAAATAAAATACGGGACCCGTATCTCTTCACTGATATGAAAGGGATAAATGAAGGATGTTTAAAGCTGGCATAGGTCATGTGAAATTATACCTGACTTATTCCCCTGTAGCTGCACCCCTACACACACTCACACAAACATACACATAAATATGTCACCTCGAGATGTTACAATCTGCAGAGGAGGAGCAGTGTTTCTCCACAGAGCCGTAGTCATGCAGGCAAAGGTCGGGTCCGGAGTCACTTTCTCACATCAGATGGTCACTAAAGGTGCAAGTGTGGCCTGATTGTGCTCCATGGAGGGAAGGAAAACCAAGCCTACAGCCGGGCAGCGAAGATATCACAGGCTCTTTAGTTGTGTCAGTTTCCCAGTCTCCGCTCCGGAAGTTACTTCTTGAAAACGAGCTTGTTCTTTTGGATTTGTTCACCGTATTATCTTGGTTTCGGGAGCAAGTGCTGCCAAACAAGACATATGACATAAACAGATGTGCACAATTGGTACCCACACACACACACACACACACACACGCACTCAGACACACACACACACACACTTGTGATGGACTGCTCTACATGTACAGAGTGCTGGAGAAGTAAACAAGGAGGCAAGGTCTTTTCAGCAGCGTTGGGCCGAGAGCTTCAAGGCCAGATGTCCGTCCTACGTCTGAGGCCTGGGGGTCTTTTGTCCTCGTGCTGTCACGGTAAGTCACACAAAACCCCCCATCCTTGTGCTGTCACGTCACCCACCACCCATACACCCAAGCCCCTGCCCCCCATGAAACGCACACATCCCAGGCAGGGCTCCAGCCTCGGGTGGGGACAGAGGGCAAGCACTAGCGACTGCTGTTCTTTATGGCTTCCTTCGCAGCTACAATCAGAGGCGTGAGGCTGGACAGAGGCTTCGCCAGCTTGAGGAAGGAATGCTGCAGAGGACAAGGAAGAATACATGATGTATATATATATATAAGGAGCAAAAGAGAGATGTTTAGGAATTATAAATACTTGATGTTTGGTGATGATTTGACATCTTCACAACATAAAAAGAGCAGCAAGACAGAGCTCTTAATCTTCATCAGCACCCTCTATCTTCATTAAAACCACCAGACTCAGGGACAGTTTCATTCCACAGGCCATAACACCGTTAAACACCTGAACTTTTGAACGAGCATCCATAACATCCATCTGTTTGTAATTATTTATCTAATATATCATATTCCATATATTTGTACATAGAGTCTTATTCCATTCTATTTCTATGTAAATACTGATATATTTCTACAATATGTTCTATTATTTTTAACATTTTTTATTACATGTTATTATAGTTTTCTTAAAATAGTTCTCTATCTGTGTTTTTTTATTTTGTTTTACTTTTATGTATGCACCATGAAATCAAGTCAAATCCCTCGTACGTGTCAATCTACCTGGTAATAAATCAGTTTCTGATTTCTGATTCTATTCAATTGTATTTGTATTTACTTGCACTAAGTTTTTCAGTGACATATCTACACTTTAGCTATGTACAAAATGACAATAAAAGCCTTGAATCCTTGAATATTAAGTAGCATAGAGGCGACCTGTACAGTAGCTCCCATGAACTTCTTTACATTTCTTTAAAAAGAAAAGTTTTCCTTCTGGATGTGACTGTGTTTACATCAACAGTGCTCGGTTCTCAAAAGGTCAAAGTGTTACCTGGAGCAGCTCCTTGGCAGAGCCTCTGCGGTCCACATCCATCTCCAGACAGCGGTTGAGGAAGTCTCTGAACACCGAGGAGAGCCTCTCTGGGTTCTGCAGCTCGGGGGTCCCGTTGGTAGCTATCAGGTACAGCGCCTGGGAACAAGGAAGAGGTCAGGCAGACCATCAAATGAGGCCTCCATAAGAAGTAAAAAAGAAATCTAAATATTTAATATCTATGCATTCTGTATGACCCCTGGGGAGCTAACATCCTGCGTCCCGTGTTGTGGCTGCGCTTTGTGTCTTACCCTGAGTGGATTCTCATTCAGGTAGGGCGGCTCTCCCTCCACCATCTCTATGGCCATGATCCCCAGAGACCAGATATCGACTTTCGGGCCATAAGCCTTCCGAGTCACCACCTCCGGGGCCATCCAGTAGGGCGTTCCCACCATCGTGCTGCGCTTGTTCTGCTCCGGAGTGATCTGAGCGCAGAAGCCGAAGTCGGCTGCAGAGGAAGAGAGAGGTGCAGTGAAGTTTTATGTTCTTTGTCTGCTTCATCACATTAAATAACAGTTTCACTTTGCACGTACCCTTATTTGAATATAAAGGGGACACATGATGCTGATTTTCAGGTTCATATTTTAATGTTGTGCCTCTACTGTGACATGTTTCCATGCTTTAATGTTCAAAAAGCTCTTTATTTGTCTCATTTTCACCCTCTGTCTGAAACCAGAGCCCAGTCTGCTCTGATTGGTTAGCTGGCCAGCTCTGTTGTGATTGGTCAACCGCTTAGAGATGTGCTGATCAGGTACAATATGTTGGAGCGCTAACCAATAGAAGCGCTAGTGTTACATAGTGATGTAATTGTGTTACGAAACTCTCTCTGGAGAGAACTTAGAGATGTTAACATTTGCAGACCATTTACATGCAAAAAAAACCTTTCTAACACACTACAGGAAAGGGAAATAACATAACAGGGCTTCTTTAAGTGGTCTTTAATTCAACAAACTAATCTAAAAAATGCTGCTTTTGACTTTACCACACTAAAAATAAATGCATATGTTAGAAAGAAAAATACTTACTGAGCTTGACGGATCCGTCCATTCCCAAGAGGATGTTGTCACTTTTTATATCTCTGTGGATCACCTGGTTGGAGTGTAGGAAATCCAGGGCTTGAAGACACTGAAGAGAGCGGAGAAAAGTGTTTGAATCAGATATTCCAATGCCAACGAAGCCTGTACTACACACAGTTTTTTATCTCCAGGCTGGTTTGAGTGTTTAAATGTGCCTGTGTGCATTAGATGTAAGGGTCGGCTGAGTGTAGCCACAGGAGAGTTGCTGATGTGTAAACTTGGCTTCTTACCTCTCTGCAGACTGCAGCTATCTGGCCCTCGTCCATGCAGGTCTCAGTCACTACATCTGTCAGCGAGCCACCGGCCAAATACTCCATCACCACCCATAGCTCATCTCCTACCAGGTAACTAATGAAAAGCCAGAGAGAAAAGTGTACTTTTAGAGTGACACACATTTCATGTTGGGGGTTTCAGTTCAGCTGTTGCTTTAATCATCTCTTGTTATATTGACATTTGGCGCATAGGCAGAACAAATGAGAAGAAAACCTCCTAAGAAGAAGAGCGTAGAGCAGCTGTTGCATATTTTTGAATTAAAGGTGAGTGAGCTTCATGATGCAGAGTCGACTACAACACACAGTAGGTGATCAAGCATGTTACTGCCAGCTGGGACCAGCAGAAAGAACAACAAAATGAAATCAGAGCTGAGAGGAACAGATGCTTAAAACAATGATATCAACTTATTTAGTCAAATTGTTCTCTCTGTTTTAAAACAGCAGGTGGCAGTCATGTGCTAAATGATAAATGCTGACCACCATTAAAAGAAGGACGAGACGGATGTGATGAGGAAGAAAACTTAGATGATCCTTCAGTGTCATAAATGACCCCAAACCAGTTGCTTTGGCCAATACAGTGACTCATGTCAGCACTCATATACTAACTAAACACTTATATACTAACAAAGCACTTATATACTAACACAGGACTGGCTTATCTAAAGCCAGTTGAGTAGCACTTAAAATGGTTTGGCTCTATGAAACCTGATGTACTTATATGATTCTGTTTTCTTCAAGTTTGTATCTTCTTGGTCGAATGCACTTATTGTAAGTTGCTTTGGATAAAAGCGTCAGCTAAATGCAATGTAATGCTTTAGATGAGATATCATAACCTTAGATTATTTTATAATAACAATAAATGCTACATTTTATATATGCTGAAAAAGCAATAATAACCTGTTTGTGTCATATTAGAGAAAAGTAATTGACAGCAATGGTTAAAGGAATTGCCCTCTATAAAGCAAAAAACCCAAATATATGTTGTTTTCAGCTCCTCCATCTGTTATGCAACAGAACATTAAACAAGCTTTAGGTTTTTGACTGCAGTTTGAGGAAAGCACCTTGGCAAATGTGATGGCCTTAAGATTCTATATTTGAAGCAATAGACAAAAATAGCTATAAAAGGGCCTTGACTTCAGGCTTATAATCACGTGTGAAAACTGACCTGTCCAGGTAGTTCACTATATTGGAGTTTTTGTTTTCCCTCATCACCAGGATCTCATTGATGATCAGCTCTTTCTTGGGCTGCTGCTGCAGGTTCATCTGCTTGATGGCCACCTGAGAAAACAGACGGGGAATTTGTGGCTCAGAACAACGTAAATCCTGATGGATTAGTGAGGAAAAATGAATAATATACGGTGAGCGAGCGTTTCTAAAGCCAACATTAGAGCTGCCTTACCTCTTGGCCAGTTGCTATGTCGATAGCAGTGTACACAGTGCCGGACGCTCTGGGGATGAATAAGATCAAAATCACATTAAAGATATGTCATCAAAGTTTTAAAAGTACTCTGAGAATAATAATCATAACATATATCACTGTTCTAACTCAAACTAAATAGTGTTGTAACATATTTAACATTTTCTATATAGAATCATAATCATTTTGAGTTACCACGACAGGTGATATGTGTATTGTCCCATAAATGTCTATACTAACCTGATCAAACCAATTTCAGGTTAACACATCAGATGTTTTTTTAAAAGTCAGACCACAAACACATTGGTCTATAGCTTAATTGAACTGTGTTATACATTATATATTAAGGAGAAAGTTATCACGTTGGCGCAACTACAGCTTTGTGCCTTTACAATTAATATCATTTACAAACTTTAAGTTGCGATTATGTCATGAATTAGTAAAAGGCAGTTGGAGAGCACAGACCTTGCTAAGATGAAAAAGCACTTACGTATCCGCTTTGTGATACAGAGCCTTTCCAAAAGGAAATGGGTTCTTCTTTGGCTCATGCTATACCCTCGCACTGAGAAAATTAGGCCAAGTATTTAATAGGTTTAAAAGTTATTTTGGCAGTAGAAGTTTTTTTTTTGGGCTCTTCATCAATATACTGCATGTGCTCATTTCACCATGACAACAGAACCACTCTTGAATTACCTTAGGAGGAATGAGCACACACAAGTAATGTACAGTTTCCAATAGCTGGTCAACCGAATGGTATGCAGCCGCTCTGTCCTTATTAGGAAGTGTATCTCATGATACTAAAAACTTTCAGCTGTGAATTCAGGCTTCTGGTTTTTCCTCTTTGTTTTGCTGCCAGGTAAACCTGTGTGCTGTCAGAAGTTATTAATCGTGGTCCACAGTTCATGACCTCCTGCTAATAAGTTAAAGATGACCCAGCAGAGAATAAATAGACAGTAATCTCTTTGTTTCAGAGAGGAGCTTCCTGATCAAATATGGAAATAGTGAGGATGTCCGAGCAGATAACAACCACACAGTTTGTATCTGTCCCATGGCCATGTCAGGATACAGTTCACATTTCTCCTCTATTTTTTTTTCTCTCATTCATTCATACCCTCCCTCTGCCTCACTGGAGCGCCCACTACGGCTGCATCTCTTCTGGAGAGACTGACTGCTCCTGAGATTGCTCTATTTCAATAACTGTGACGACCGATGTATGAACGCAGATAGACTTACCCCTGTCCTATTTTCTCGAAGCGTGTGTACTTCTTTTTGGGATCCCCCACGCTCACAATACTCCCTGAGTCAGAGAGAGAGCAGATATATGATGATTGAACTTGTGTGTGGTGCACAAAGTCATGTGAGGCGCTCACACAAACACACAAATACACAAATAACATAACCACAGAACCGTGTGCCTTTCTGTTTCAGAATTACCCCGCCTTGCAGTGCAGCTACTTTAAGTACATGCATCTGCACTTAGCGGTGCCTGTCGGTAACTAGGGCTGAAGTGTCAGTAAAGAGGGGGTAGTGCTTTAAGGGAAGGCCATAATCAGTGCAATAAGATTTTGTTGTCAAATGGGGTGTTGACAGTTCTCTGGCAACAATTTTTCTAAATACAAAATATGAATGCACAAAATAATGCGTTGAAAACAGTTACTGAGATTCAAAGAACATCACATTCTTCAATTATGGAAGATATTTTTAAGACTCCATGATATCTTTAAGTGTTTTTTACAAAATAAAGATGAAATAATCAGAGAGTTAAGGACTTCTACTGGGGCTGTTTGACAAGAGAACATGTAATATCATTTGTAGTTTTTGATCAAATGCTGCATTTTCGTACCAAATACCCCAAATATTGTACGGTTGACTATTTGTGCTTATACAAATATATACACAATGACATTTCGCTGTAATCATCAGTGGAGAGGGTATAATGACTTAGTAGGAAAGGGAAATAAAAAAGTGACACTACTGTAATGCAGCCTTTAAAACTAGGAGAAGTCAACACGTACTGAGTCTCTCCAGAATCTCCTCATCTGTCATTTTGGACTTCTTCCTCTGGCGGTCAGTGTGGCGGTACATCGTGTTGTCGGGCTGGACCAGCGACTCTGGGGGAGTCACCACTTCCTTCACGGGGGTCGGGGGCTTGGGCTCCAAGACGGAGCGCGTGTAGATCTGCGAGGAGAGGAGAGTCAAAGAAATGAAGAGGGGGGGGGGGGTTTGGATTTGCAGCAGAGTGATTTCAACTCAGCACGCCGTACAAACTCACAGATTTGGTGTGTTCGGGCCGAGGTGCGACGACCGGGGGCAGTTCGTCGTCGTCTTCCTCTTCTTCCTCTTCTTCCTCCTCTTCCTCTTCTTCCTCATCCTCTTCTTCTGACACAGGTGGAGCGATTGGAGGCTCTGACGATGATGTTTTGGCACCCTGGAGGGTAGAGATGTAAGTAAGAAGGGATGCATGTGCCCTCTAGTAGCATTTAGCGTATTAGCTGATCTGGATATTTTTGAATGCTTATAGCGATGAAGAGTCAGCAAACTCCACACCAGCGGTAAACAAAGTTCCCGGCCATGTGAGTTTCAATATAAACTTTGTCTCACACACAAGCTGTAGTGAAGGTGACTAAACTACAGTATATAACAGTCAATCAAAGGTGATGATGTTAATTAGCACATGGGAACAACATAAACAAAACACAATTAAATCTGTTTTGATACAGATTTTGTGGAAAGAAGAAAACGAATGGGGCACAATTGTCAGGATTAGGATTAAGCTGAGAGCTAAAGGGGTTAGCATTTAAAGTGTGAGGTGCCATTCAGTGCGTTTTTTACATTAAGTCAGGTGTGCCACCAACAATGAGAATGCATTTGAAAGAAACACAGGAGAAATATGCCACCACATTGCAGTACTGGTGCAATATGGTGATGAGCTGTGGACGTCCTCTTCATATGGTAGATACCTTTGATCAAGTCTGATTAAAAAGCTTCAGGCATATTTATTATGCCTAATGCTCAGCTTTTATTCCCCCCCCCATCCAAACCCTGCTAGCCCTGGATCATCATCCTCTTATGGAGTGGAAACATTTCATCCATTTCCAGCCTTGTCATGCATAAATGAAGCAGTGCAGCTTAGTTCTGGTGATTAAAGGGAAAGGGTCTGTCTGAAGGAAAGTCTCAGTCCTCCATTCAGACACACTGGGCCTCTGAAGCGCTCCAAGGAAGGCCAAGACTGCAGTGCAGGAAAGAGTGTCTTTCTAAATGTAAGCAGAGCCTCTTTTTGTTTTGCAGAGCCATGCGGTAATGTTTATAACGGTACATTATTGGAAACTGTAAAGAATATGAGCTCATACATGCAGTTTGAAAGTCATCACAACCCTCTGCGCCCCTGCCCTGCCATTTCAGAGATGGTCCGTTAGAAAAGAAAAGGATAAGAGGTGCTCTTGTGGAAGGTAGTAAATACATTAGTAACATCACAAACTAATAGATCCAAATACATCCCCCATAGAATTTCAATACATCAGATATTTATGTGTGTTTTTTCAGTTGGAATAATCAGAATTAGGAGATCAAATTTAGCTTCGAGGCCAATGCAGAGATACATGATGTGGAAAGTAATATGGAGGAGTTACCTTGTCAAATAATGCGCTGCAGGTTCTAAGGCTGACAGGAGGCCCAGATGACAGCAGCCGGTTCTGAATGTGAGGGTTGAAAATGGGAGGATTTACTCAAAACAAACCCACACACTGTTTGAGAGTAAAGGGACTTCAGGGCAGGGCGGGGGAGGGCAGGGGTCTCGCTACTGAGGGGTGGACTAAACGTTTACATGTTCCTCCTGAAACCCAGCTGGACAAGAGGACATGATGGAGACACAATGTGCCGCCTGAGGACTATCTTTGCCCAACCTATCTTTGGCGATGTTTTTTATTGAATGACACTAGTTTCCATTTCTGTTCATGCACCTGTCTTGCTCTGTGACCTGAATTAAAAGGTCCTGTTGACATGTTAAAGAGGAAATGGATTAAAAACCACAATTATAGTCTGGTACACATTATACACATTATCCCGGCATATACAACTAATTAAGGAACGTCCCTTGTTTCAACTTTGTCCATTTGCCTCGTTGGAAACCCATCACTTAGTTTGACTTGAACAACTCTCAGTTAACTGTCAGCTGGGATGCTTTGCTATTGAACACAATGTTGTGCTATTTATTTGGATAACATGTCATTTATCTATTTAACTTTTTAGGGCCAACAATAACAGAGCTTAGACCTGACTGAACTAACAAGAACTTGATCTGACAAATGGCAAACATCATTAGGGACTTGATNACAAGTGGAGGACAGAGGAGGCTCTTAAAGAAGAAGTTACAGGTCTGTGAGAGGCAGAAATCTTGTTTGTTTGTAGGTGACCAAATACTTATTTTCCACCATAATTTGCAAATAAATTCTTTAAAAATCAGACAATGTGATTTTCTGGATTTTTTTTTTTTCTCATTTTGTCTCTCATAGTTGAAGTGTACCTAGGATGACAATTACAGGCCTCTTTCATCTTTTTAGGTAGGAGAACTTTCACAATTGGTGGCTGACTAAATACCTTTTTGCCCCACTGTACCTGTTTTGTCATGTTGCATTAATACTGAAATAATATGGAACCAGGGTTGTTCAGTTATATCATTCAAGACAGATACTCATTACTCAGTAAGCATAAATAATGCTTTCTGACTCGTCTGACAGTGTCCAAAAGAAATATAAACCGATTTGTAAAAGCTGAGATGTTGGCTTTTATGCAGGTCATTTTTCATGTTTGTAAATGTTTGTGTCACATTATAATATCAAACAGTTGCCCGCTTTAAAGTCTAAGATCATTTAAGTATAAGATGGATTTGTTTATTGTAGATTTCACTGTCACACAAATGTTAAAAATCCCCTAATCCCTCTTAAGAACGGATTTACCAGACCATGTTACAATCCAGAGGTTATAGTATGTTTATATGGGAAAATATAAACAGCTGGATGAGACTTAAAATCAAACAAAGGAGTAGTAGCAGTGCACGCAGGATTGTCCAGGTTTCTTCTACAATGTTGCACTTTAGACTAAATCATTTCTTTCAATAGCAAGACAATCGTGCGGTCATGATGGATTTTTGTTGGCCGTTGTGAAAGATGCATTGCATGGCCCACTCGACAAAAAACGATTTTCCTTTAGGATTTTGCAATTTTGCAGAAAGTACATGTTTATGATATTTGAATGTTCTGTTCAGCAGGGTCATTTCCACATATTAACACCACTTTTACAGAAGTTGAAGCATAAATCCAATTGCTAGAAGCTAATAGCTAATGTAATGCTATAAACAACATGACAGTTGCTTGACTTTACGTCTAAGATAAATGTGGCTAAGGTTCGTCGTGATGACGTTTAGTTGTGTAGCTCTTAAATGCTTCAAACCAGTAGGGTATACAGTGCGCTTGTCTTACCACAGACCTTGTTTCAAGCATTTAACCAAAAACAGATTTAAACTTTGAGCCAAAGGAGCCCGGAAGTGCTAAAATGCTAACTCATTTCCAGGTTTAGAATTCATAGTTGTTTTCAAAATAAAACAGATTTGGCATCATCAGTTTATTATCACTCCAAATGTAGATAAACATTGTGAGAGATACATGTTGTTTGATTACCCTCACTAGCAGAGCACATACTTGAGAACGAGTTAAATTAAATGCTCTGTCATTATTATATCCTCTTTGAGTAAACATGTTGAAACACATCCTACATTTAAATCCTGTCAAAAGAGCCAAGGTGTTAAGTGCACCATATTAAACCGCACTATAATCCGTAATTACTGCGCTCAGCTGCTGACATGACTGTATCTCACTTAATGTTGAATAGACTTAATGAGCTCTTGTACAGTAGCTAACCTATCAATAGGTTACCCATAATCAGCAGAATAGAGGCCTACTAACCTAAATTATTTTTCCTTTGGGTGTAATCTCTGCTGTCCCGGCGCATACACAAAAAGTAGTGTTCCTGTTTGTGAGGGTATGTGGCATGCATGAGCGTGACCCATTATCTTTTACATGCCAAGTTACCACTGCAGTGCTTAGAAGTTAATCTGATGTGGTATCGGATGTAGAGCATTTAATACACTGCCCACAGCAGGCAACCATCTATCGTTTTATCCACTACCATCAGCACACTTAAAGCAATATGTTCTAATATTGTGTATATGCTTTATAGTAGTGGAGTATAAGTGCAATATATTGTCTTTAAACACAACATTGTAAAAACTAATGTGGACGAAAATGAAACAGTTGATTTAAGTGTGCAGTTAAATCAAGTTCTTGTTAAGCATAAACCAGAAATTGTTCTGCAATTTTGAGAATATTACTGCTACTATTGTTTCAAATATCTATTAGTATTATAGCATTATCAATTCACACTATAGACCTGCCGTACAAACAGGGGTGCACACAACTTTCTCAGTGAGGTACTCAGATGAGTACCTGGAGTCAGTGTTTGGTACTCCAACTTCTGGCTCCCCTCAAAGTTCCAATGAAGCCCTCTGTATCGGTAGTGGAGTGCAAAGCTTCGTGACCACAGAGCGTGTGAACGTTGTGATCAGCTGTTTTAGCGCAGTGCTGCTGTACAGACCAACGTTAACAGCAGCCCTGTCTGTGCACACAGAGACCGACTGTCGTCCGGTGATCTAACCGCCTTCTGGAAAAGCTTCACAAGTACGTCGGTACGCAAATGCGCTTTGTGACACAAGTGACGGTACGCATTTCAGATTGTTGCCACGCATGCGTACCTGCGTACCACTTATGTGCACCCCTGCTTATAAACCAGTATTTGAGTGTGATAAAAAGGGTCTTCTATTCTTGAATTCAGACAAAGACACTGTGTTACTTGCTTATAGGACGATTGTAACTAGCAGAAAATAAACTGTGCTGTCCTACCTGATGTCAGCATTGACTGAAAGGAAATTGTACAGTAGTTGTTTCGACAAGATATATTTTCAGACATAGGTGAAAGGTGGGAGATTTTATTGATTGCCATAGCTTAAAGCAAAGTTTAGTTCAGTGGGATTCACCCACGCACTCATCTCCTCTCATACATCATCGTTTCCTGCGGGCTTGTGTTTCTCTCTGAAGCTTCTCTCTACCTCTGCTCCCAAGGCACACTGAGCTCTGCCATAATATGATCATCTAAACCATCATTTGATATGGTTTATACAGTCCTGATTGACCAGTGCTGTGACTCCAGACCAAAGAACAGATCATCTCAAACCATTATTTTTTTCCAATTTGCACAATGATACATTCTTCTTGGATGATAAGGAAGGATAATCAGGAAACGCTGCTTCATACACGGCAGCAATGAGGACATTTCTCTTGGACTTTTGGCAAGCCTTGGTAAACCAAAGTTTGATTAGATATAAAGTGGATTGAACCGGAGTGCAAAGCTTCACAATCGTACAATTAGAAAAACTAAACAATCCCACAGCAGCAATGCAATATATTTCTTTTCCCCAGAAGGAAGAACATTTCATAAGACTAAAGGAACCAATGGAGGTGCACACATTTGTGCCAAATGCTAACCTAATCACATTGACAACGCTAAGAGGCTGATGTCAGCAGGTTAAAGGGTTACCATGTTCACAAAAACAGAATGTCTTGTTCAGGTTCATATTTGTATTTATGCCTCTGCTGTGACATGTTGACATGCTTTAATGTTCAAAAGCGGTTAGTGTGTTGGATAGAAACTAATTTCTTTGGGATGACTTACATTTACTTTGGGTTGCATTAACAAAACAAGTCTTAAACACGCTTATAATTACAGGCAGAGAAAGCTTATATACTGAGGTTACAAAACAGGTTTTGAGGAACCTGATTATGTTAGACTACTGATTAGATTATTAGTCAGGATATATGTGGGATATATATGTAGGTTATATTTCATTTTGAATGAGATTTTCTCCCCTCTCCCCACAACATCAGTAATTTCCAGACAGGGCTTATTACAAAATGTCACCACAGAGATGTGCTTTGCCTCCGAGGATATTTATAGGATTCATTACATAAACCTGATCAGTGACAGCAGCCTATGGGTAGCAACTAGTAAATCATGCTCCTCCTAACTGCTCCTGAGCTTTAGGAAATCATCTGCCTTCAGTGTTAGTTTATTAAGTTTATGATTGAATGTCACATATTTAGCAGAATGTGGAATAGAGAAAATCAGTCAATAAGCAGCTGCTGGATCTGATAGGGGTTGAGACACAAGACCAGACAGAAGCAGAGGGGGATCATTTGTGTGAGAGATTTGTCTTACCTTCATATTACCATGTCTGTTGTGCTGATTTAATTAAAACATTTCAAGCATTCTTAACTATGGTGACTTACAATGAGGGACCAGGTATGGGGTTCAATTCTTCTAAAGGACACGACACCATCACAAATGGCTGTGAGAGTACTAGAAAATATGTGACCTTTCTGATCATTTGTTGCCCAGTCTGAGTACAAAACACCTGCTCATCTCTTGAAGCAAACTGAACACGTTAATCCAGGTGAAAAGAGTAATCCTTGGTTAATTCCACCTCACTTGAATCGACAAAACAAAGGTAGAAAGAAAGCTTAAAGAAGCATCCTTTGTGGCCGACGTCAGTGCAGTCATTGAAGGAAGTGGATATGTGTGTGTATATATCTGTGTTAGTGTGTTATGTCTCTGTTGGGTAGTGAGTCCAGAATCTGACCAGGGCCCAGGAGTTGAGGCTTGAGTTGTTGGTTAGGACAGAAGGGCTCCCGAAGCGGGGAGTCCAAGAGGTCATACCACACCATTGACTGATTTTTGGTCACATGTGCGACCCAGGGCCACATAATGTTTATGCTGACCCTGTTGATGAGCAGAATTAGGCTGACATGAGAAGCACAGCAAAAGAAGGATTACAGTACCATAAGTTTTTTTATTATAGACACATGCATTTCCAAACATTCGGTCTACCTACGCTGTAAAATGTATTATCTTTTTGATTTACACACGGCACCTATTGCACGTCTGTCCGTCCTGGGAGAGGGATCCCTCCTCTGTTGCTCTCCCTGAGGTTTCTCCCATTTTCCGCTTTAAACTGTGGGTTTTCTCCGGACGTTTTTTCCTTGTACGATGTGAGGGTCTAAGGACAGAGGGTTTTCTCATACTGATATTCTGCACAAACTGTGCTATTGTATTAGCTGTAAAGTGTCTTTACTGTAGGGTATTTGTATTCTATGTACTGCACTTTGGCTCGACCAAAAATCGTTTAAAAAAGTGCTATATAAATATAACTTGATTTGATTTGATAACAGCCTTTTATTACTCATTATACCATGACCAAAGACATGTGGATATTGAGAAAACAAGAGTCACACAGGGGTTCCTCTTGCTGGATTTTGGATGTTTCTGTGTTTGTACGAGTTTCTCTTAAATCCAAGGCCTGTTGGATAAGTCAATCACATGGTTGAGGGTGATTCAGTGTCAGAGCTGTGATGGGCAGCTGACCTTTGCAGGGTATTTCCTATCAGCCAAAATCTTGCTGGTTTTAGCCACCACGTGAGTCTGACTATTCATAATTACAGTCACATGTAAAAATGGAAATCATGGAAAATGTATTAATTTGTGACTGATGCTGGCTTTAACTCGTGGGAGAAATTTTAATGGGAAAAATGTAAGAAAAATTCCTGAAATGATAATATAAAGAGTGCAATATTAATCCTGCAGTGAAGGGTTGGTCATGTTACTTTTGTTTCCTCAGATTAAAGAGCAATTTGACATTTTTCTGTGTAAACTGCGCCTCACTTCCTCTGCGTTAGTGTACACTGATCTTTAGAGTCTGATGACTGGAGTCAGGGCAAAACCCCTTCTCAGGCTTTAAAATGTTTGCACCGCGCTGCTCTTCTGAATATACATTTGCATTTCTCTTGTGGCTACATTGACAGGGTTTAATCAGGTCTCACTTTTGCAACACTTGTGTGCCTGCAAAGCTGGAAAAAGACTGGTTCTTGTCACTCTGTGCATTGGCTAATTCTTAATTCTGTAACCTATTTAAAAACTAGGAAAGTCTCATGTGTTTATTAGCAAAGACCATGTGTACGTGCATTCAGGAAGTCTATGATTTTAATTATTTATAGCTCCATGTTGTCTAGAGTGTTCAGAAAATATGGTTGCAATTTATGTAAAAGAAAATCACCACAACCACGTTCTGATTTGAAAAAAAATGATTTTAAAGGTCATTGTGCTCTTGTTATCGTCATGTTCTCCATTTGAGTGAGCACTGTCACTGAACAGCCATATTTCTCTCCGACATGAAATCGACATTAGAGGGGTTGTCAGGACAACCAGCCATGATTCACAGAGCCTCAGATAGACCTCCACCTTGGGCTTGAAGCACTAGCCATGAGACTGAGCAGATGCTGTGCCTGTCAGCCAATCACAGGTGAGACAGAGGAAAAAGATGACATCATAGGCAAATTAGGGCAAACGCAGCAGGTATTTTGGTTGTCGTGTCCGCCTGCTTATAAACCCAGAGTCACTTTTAGACTCTGACAAACGAAAACTGTTGATGTTTTGGCAATGAATTCAGAAATAAATTCAGTAGGCAACATCAAAATGTCTCAAAATAGGGGTGAACATGTAGCATTACACTAAATGAAAAACATAATATCACCCTTGTGATCAAGTTGCTTAATCAAAAATAGCAATGTGCTCTGGTGAATACTGAACAGGCATACTTTTACACCTTTAATATCTCAAGAAATAAATAATAAGCACTGAGTTTCTTATATTTACTAAGGGAATCTTACTGTGCGAAAAAACGAATTATATAAATATATTTGTATTTATTTTGAGGACTAGGATAGTTGTAAATGAAAGGATTTCCCTTCCAACAACAAATTAAAATCCTCTTTTTACCGTGGTTAAATACATAATAATAATAATAATAATGCATTACATTTTTTATTAGAGCGCTTTTACAGGTTCTCAAAGCGCTTTACAATTATACATTACACATATTAGACATGTAAGAGTCATTACTGTGGACATTACCCACAGTAATACTTACTTATATACAAACATACTTACATTTATGCTGTATTCTTCCATGTGGGCTCTAAAATGTAAAACTATAACATTTTTGCAAAAGCTTTTACACTGTATTATTGAGAGGTTACCAACATAAAGCCATGCCTTGCAAAAGAACAGCTCTGGAGCTCCCTCCCTCCTCTCCCTCACTCAGCAGGTTTGATCTGTTAAACAGAAAACCAAAGCTGTCTGTCCGTTGGCTGCCTCCTCCCCCAGACTCGCTTCCTTCATTAATATTCAGCCTCTCAGCCAATCAGGGAAACAGGGTGGATGACATCATGGGCTAGGGAACAGTGAGCAGCCAGTGAAGCATCCAGCCTGCCGAACAAGCTTGCTTTTAGGGTCAGGAACTGGTCTGACAAGAGAATGGCAATCCTGCCTTTAAACTGTCACTAGGACTGTACGGCTGACGATGAACCTACCTGAGCTCCGGGCTCAAAGGCTGAACACTGAGCAAGAGAATGTGAAGACATATTTCAGGTAATTCCCTCTCTGTGTATGGCAATAGGGGATGAGGTGTGGGGGAGGCAGAGGAGGGAGGAGAGGAGAGAAAGGAAGAGGAGGGGAGGGCTGTGTATGTAGGGGTGCTTTGTAGCCTTTTTCTCTACCTCTCCTTCTTCCACTCTGCATTCTGCCCTGCTAGGAAGGCAGCTGTTTCATCAGCAGTCTGTCCGTGAGGGTGAGATGGAAATGGATGCCTGCATCAGATGGGCTGAGGATGTGTTTGTATGATCATACACCCCCCTCTGCATCGCAGCATCTCTGTATGCACTCCCTTGTGCCTCACAAATAGCATCTTTATTGATGGGGAGGTGTGAGAATCAATGGTGGCGTTTGTGCAGGCCTAGTGTGTGTATGTGTGTGTGTGTGGGTGTGTATGTGTGTGTGTGTGTCACTCCTGGAGAAATGCAGCAGCTGCAGTAGCAACACTGTAACAAACAAGAAGCAATGCTATTTTGGGTCTGTAGACCCGAGGCTGACTGATGGATCAGAGCTATATGCCGAGGAAAAAGGGGAGGGGGGGGTGTTTAATATGCTGATGGTTGCTCTTTTGTTATCTCTGCACTGCCTCACTTATGGCCTTTCTAGGGAGTGTTTCATCCAGAGACGGCTTTTATTTCCATTGATGTCTTTCAATGAGAGAGAGCAGAGACGTGCCTCTGTCTCTCGGCCTTAACATGGATGTGTAGCAGTTTCATGGCGGCTGTAGTGACAGGGAGATATACAACATCTGGTCACCTGACTTCATTGGGGAGCGGATTGGGGGCGGGGTCCGGTCCTCTGAAAGCTGAGCTATTCTACCTCGGATTCTTCCACAGCCATCGCTGCTGCTGGTGGAGGTAGAGGAGGAGGATGGAGGATACAGTGGTGTGAATGTGTGTCCCCCATCCCCTCTCCTCTTTAGACTTTCACAGCTCAGGGAGATTCAGCTCCGAGGGAGGCAGCCCTCCTCCGGTTTGGGAGAAGCAGGGCCTGATGGGAGACCTGTTGTGTGACTGTCGTGTGAAAGAGGGATGTTAGGGAGTCATGTCAGTGATGGAGGTAGGGGGAATTGGGGGATGGGATGCTGAAGGTGCTACTCCCTTTCAACATTGGTATCATGATATAGATGTATTGCCCCTCTCCATTCATCTCTAATGTGTCCAGGCACCATGACTGCACTCGATTCACGGTGTCCACCTAAAGGGATATATTGTTTGATGAAAGCTATCTTTTTAGAAGGACATATTAAAGTGTCCCTTATCACCATTATGTTTTTTTAAGTTCACTTACATTATTTAAAGATCTACACTGTCCTTTCTAGGGGAACATATTTGGGGAATGTGTCGGTCCGTAAGATGTTTTGTGCCGGTACAGCACAATGCACTGGGCTTTGCAGAAGACACCAGGCCTACAGTAGTAATGAAACGCAGTGTCATAGACGATCATACACTCATGCTATGATATATGAGAGTGTTAGGTGTTTATACGTCCTGCTAGTCAACTGATCTGTGAAACCGCTGCTGGGTAATTGGCCACGCTTTAGGTCTAAGACGATGTGCTTCACTTGCCACAAACATTGTATATTCATCACACCTTCATCTACACAGGCCTGTTACACGCAGATGGACAGCTTATAGCTTTGTATTTTTTGTCGACAGCGGTCTGGGTAGAGCTGCTTACCATCAGGTGAAATTATTCACACAGGCTTTTGTCTCTGTGTAGGTTACTGGCAACTCATGAACAATTTATATTTGCAAAGAAAGCTCACAGACATTAGCTGTTGCTAGTGAGAAGCTGCTGATGTGTCAGGTCTGGTCTGATGTGCGTGTGCGCTCTGTTGTAATAAAAATAAAAGTAAAAATACCCTAAAGCATACTGTATATAGTGTAAACAGAAATCATGCAGGCAAAATGGAAGCTTATTAAACTTAGCTTGGTTTTTCTGCAAACGCTTGCACTGCTGACCATGGTGATCAACTTACAGTGAACTAATGGTATTCTTTTATTAATACATTTTTTTATAGTGAACACCTATTGGACATCATTATCTTTACAAATGTAAGGAGGCTTATGGCTCAGTGGATAGTGTGCTGGACTTCCAATCAGGGGATAGCAAGTTCGAGTCCCACTGCAGTCAGCATGTCGTTGTGTCCCTGGGCAAGACACTTCACCCCAGATTGCCCACAGTACTGAATGTATGTACCGGTAATTCGCTTTGGATAAAAGCGTCTAACAAATGACATGTAATGTAAAGTAAGGAAGGTAAACGTGGAGAGAGTCATTTTATAAACTTGACATAAAACAGATCCAAAATCCACCTTGCTATTAAAGTATGCACTGTAAATAATGATGTACTGTTGATTGGAAACATTGGCTTAAACATTTTACTTAATTTAATCGATTATTTATTCTAGCTTAGTTTGTAAGCCAGATGTTTTGCGCAATACCTCCAACCAGGGGCAGGGCCTTCCTCACTTGGGTAAATGTACTAGATGTTTCATTATTACTTGAATGCTGTTTTTAATATGATCGTCTGCACAGTGTGACCAATAATACACTGGTTAATATATGAATTGTGTACAATATTTAGTTTTGTGATGAAGACTTTCAAAAGATTATTGTATTCAGAGATGTTTTAAGTTAGTTTAAACAAAATACTTAATAAAGATTGTTGGCTGAATAGGCCTAATTCCCGATTTATATTCAACAAGCAATTGACCGTATGTTAGCAGTAAATAGCAGAAAGACAGAGCTGAGTAAACTCAATAATATCGTTATCCTGTTATAGAACAACGTTATTGCATACATTCCTTTAATCATGCATATACTCTGCCACCACATATTAAAACTGCCCTGCAGCTTTATTCAACGTTAAAATCCGACGGTACAATCAAAACTTTATTAAAACTATATAAACCTTTCACTTTCCACCATATGTGCCTGGCCAGCTCCATGACTATTAGTGAGCAGTTCTGGGCTTCCCCTAGTTTTCCACTGGCCGGTGTAACCCAACACACACAGCTTCTCTTACCTCACCTCCGCTAACAAAAGCAGTCGACACAGAACCTCATCTCGGCTGACTGGGCTGCCTGAAATATGATAGCTTCGGACCCACAGCCCGTACACGTAGACCTCCATCTGTTGAGGACTTAGTCAGCATGAGTTATGCTGCTATTGTTCGAGACACTGAGTTACCGTTGAGGACTTTTGTTGACAGTTTATAAATGTGCGGTGGCCTCATGTGGGGTGTTTGTGTGTGTTTAAAGGCAGAGCTGTCTAAAGTGGAGCAGTAGTCTTATGGTAGGTGTGTCAGAGCTACAGTCTGTGTGTTGTGGATTAGCATGTAGGATTGCAAGCCATCTGGCCATTTTGTCTAAGAATGGGAGGGGGGTAAGTTAGAGAGATAGATGGAGGGTGAGTGAAAGAGACAGAGGAAACACTCACACACTGACACATTGACACAGCTCCCTCGTAATCTCCCTACTTGATGTCTGTTGCTACTTAGAATAGTGTGTTAGTAGTCTGTGTGTGTGTTTGTGACCCTCGGTGCAGTTCAAAGATAGTCCTCTCGTGATTTACACTTTCCCTGACGTATCAAACTCATATGGCATCAAGAAAGTCAGAGAAATGTCTCGTGAGGATTGGAGACCCTGGAAAGGAAGGTGGTGGTGTTAAAGACTTTACAGTAAGATGATGCAATGAGTGTAGACGTTCCAGATGGAGAGAGACTTGGAGCAGAAAAGGATGAAAGGTTGCAGAGGAGGAAACAGGTTGAGGAGGTTTAAGAGATTAACTAGTTTCACTGGGTCAAGAGTTTGCAGGGAGTTGCGTAGGGGTAACTGTTTGGAGATGAACAGGCTAGATAATGCAACATGTTGTAGGAAGTTTTCAGAGGATTTGAGGAGATTCCTTAAACTTGGTTCAAAGGCTGGCTGTTTTCAAATTGGGACTGCGACTGATATAAGCTATTATTTTTGCGCTATCGTTTAAATGTCCAGCAATATGTAAATGTCTGCTGTTATTCAAACCAACGTCTGTCTTCACGGGGAGCAACTTGGTTGGTTAAAGGAAAAGATTGTGATGTGCAATAACATAACTACGTGAGTGTCTTTTGCCTCAGAACAAATACATACATATATTCTGGTTTCACACTGATCACAAACAGCATTCCCCTGGGTGAACGTGTGTTGTTCTTGTATCCACCCAGCCACCTGACTTCCTCCTCCCCATGACTTTCTTTATAGTTCCGTGTTCACAATTATGAAAACATTTATTTTTGTTAGACATACAAATAACAGTGCATTACTTATTGTCAGTATAAGTACAAACACTGTATGGGACCAGCCAGAGAGCTTCACATGCTCCAGCTATAATATCTAAAGAGACTTAATTCAACTGGAGTTTAATTACAGCAAGCCTTGTTTTGGATTTAGATTTGTCAATGACCAACCGTGCTCATAATATTCACAAAGAACCCAAGCACAGTTTTGGTGATGCAAATATGGCAACGTTGTTATCATGATGATCCAGGATGTGTAACTCTAGGAGGAAGGGAATCATTTGTCACAAATAACACCTCTGAAGTGAAGAGCATCCACACAGTGCAGTCACACTGTTTCCGTGCCTCTCAATGAGGACATACATTTCTTTCCCAGCTGCATGGAGGTGCAACTACTGTGAGTGGCAGCACAATGCCTCGGTGTATTCACTTGTCCACACAAATATGAGTCCTGTGGTAGTGTTTGTCTATGCAAAGTCATAACCTAGCTATTTGGCAGGGGAGACGTTATCAAAATGAAATGCCTGTTTAGTAATGAAACAACAGCTCGTCTATATCATGTGCGTTAGGTGTTAGATATACCGTAGAGACACATTGGAGACACTCAGAAGAACATTACACTTTATATGTTTAAACTTTAATTAATATTAACTGACCACCATACATTTGAGCAATCAGCGCAGTAGCGACAGCATGTAGATATCCACAGTTTCCTCTTC